ACTGGTCCAGTCAGATCGAACTGGGTTTGAACTGAGTCAACTCACCTGATTTAACTTGAACTGAGTCAACTCGTTAGAGTCAACTCGTATGAGTCAACCAATTAACTTTGACTGTTGATTTTGACCAAAAAGTCAAAATTTTTGAAAAGTCATATTTATGTTTTGCGACGTCCTGAGTCTGAATCTGAAGTCTGTTTTTTCAAATCCAATCCCAACAAGTTGTGTTTTTTTAGCATTTTATCTCCCGATTCAATATGGATTTTAACGTTTAAGTTATGTTTCTAATGTAAATTGGTTTTGCCATGTATCCTAGACATTATGGGACATGGAATTAAAATTTGAGGGCAATCAAATGGAGTTTAATTGGACAATAGTTATGGATCGAGAATCGAGGTAATACATTACTCCCTTTATGCATGCTTTATGGGACATGTTGGCATTGGTTAATGCATAAATGAATATGTTTGGTTATATGAGTGTAATTAATATATTTCTAAACTCGATCCAAATGCGATGAAAAGTAATTAAAGTGAATAAGACTCAGATTACATGTATATGACACTAGAAGACTGATAAGAAATAATTTCAAGTTTAGTGATTAACCGATAAAGCAATCAACCTTAGAATATTTAAATTCTAATTATTTTCGTTGAAAGTTTTAATATTGGAATCACTTGGTTAGGAAATTATGAAATTACCCCTATGTGGTAAAAATGGTTTTGACTAACCCTGATAGTGAAAGTACCATGAGAATTCATATTTTAATCTGACAAACTACTGATTCACCTGTTAAATTCTTGATTTGTTCAAAAAACCATCGATAATTGATCCTAATATCCGAGAAGGTACAAGACCTAGAATTAATGATTTATCAGCAAACAACCAAAGACTAAAACATCGGAAGTATTATTTATGTTTGAATTGTTTAGAAAATTGAATTAAATGGAAAGATTGGATTGAAGGAAATAACCAAAATACCCATGAAGTATAAAATGACCTAAAGTACCTCCAAGCCCTGGAATAATTAAATAGCCTCAAGCTTTGAAATGAATAAATCAACCTCGAATACCAAAATAACCTAGAATTTCTATTTCTTGAGCGAACACCTGAAGGCTAAATTATCTAATGTACTTTTCACGTATGAATTACTCGAAATGACTATATTATGTGACAAAGTTGAACTGAATAGAAGTATTGTACGTATCTGAATCGTTGAAATGATCCAATTACTCTGGAAACTCCAAAATAATTGGGATAAACTTGAATACTAAATGAACTAAGTACCCTTTATGACATTGAATTAAGTGGATGACTTGGATAAGTCTTGAAACACTGATGAACTTATATGTTGTACAGTATATAAGGGTTAGGAACCCCAAACCAAGCACGTCAACATTTCTTGATACTGTTGCAATACATAAATGAAATAAATACCATTGGACTACCTCTTTGTCTCCCTTGGATCCATTCAACGATGATTCTGAAGGTGATCAATTCAACTAGAGCAATTAGTATTATAAAGTGAATAATGGTGAAGTGTCTCAGTCTGAATGATTGCCAAGTACCTCGGTATTGGGATTAGATAGTTTAATTGGACTCGAAATACTGATAATTCAATATGAATCCGAAATAATATAAATTGTTGTTTCACTCTCATTGGGTTAAAATACTAAGAATTCTTCAAGAAACCAAAATGTCTAAAATGTCTATGATTGCCTGAATATTGGAATCACTCATGTCATATCTGAAATCTCAAGTAAATCAGATGTAAAAGATTATGAATATCGTCCTGATTACTTAGTGCCTCCGAAAAAATATATGAATACTATATGATCTTGATAAATCACTTTCTGAATGACTGGTGAATTTGTTAGCCATCAAACCCCTTTTCATAAGGATCTCGTACTAAAATTCAATCAGTTTGAAGAAATTTTGTGACTCCTTACCAGATAAATACTAAGTACATTTGGATAAATAATTGGATCCTCTAGTGTGTTCCCTATGTGCTATATAATTATTTTATTTGTCCTAAAATGCGATTTACCAAAGTTATTGTTTTATTGAATCTTTTAATTGTTTTACTGAAATAGAGAGCAATTTTTTAAAAATTTGTTTTACTGAAATAGAGTACTACTATTTTTAATTTATGATTTTATTTATTCTGATTTCGTGGGAACACACTAGACATCCTATTCTGATCTCTTGAAACTGGTCCTCTGAATGTTTCCTCTGAATTGGAAGCTTCATGTCTTTTACTTGAAGAAGTGGAACCTAAGCTCATAGCAAAAACTTGTAAAAGATTGAATCAGTAAGGAAATTTGTATGCTTTCCTTTTATTTGTATGTCCTTCAGCATCACTTGGTATTTCTTTTTTTCTGAGCTTCTCAAAGCTCACTCTTTTACTCTCCATTTTAGGTTAAAAGAATTGATCCAGTGCAACTATCAACATTTGTAATTGGGAGTTCCTTTGGCTTAGGTTGAAGAGTACGGTGTAATTAGGGGGCATATAGGTCACATTTAATTTTTTATACTAAGTCTGAAACTTGTATAATTGTAAGGGTAAACTACTCCAATGGTCACTAATGTTTGGTTAAGTTTTTATTTTCACCACTGAGGTTTCAAAAGTTACAAATCGATCACTAACGTTATCGTTTGTTACAAATTGGTCACTCGCCGTTAACAGCGTGATGGAAAACACACGTGGCATGCTAACAACAGTTAACATGCTTACTTGGATGGTATAATTACACAAATAGTCCATGTTATTTATATATTCTTTCATTTTGATCCTAGTTTTAATAAATTAAAATATTTTTTAATTCTTATAAATAATGATATATTTTTATACAAAATAATTAAATGTTTAATTCCAACGACTTTAAAAAATAAAATCAAAAATAGAAAATTAGTTATAAAAATAAAAAAAATAACGTTTTTAATGTTAAGGTAAACTACTTTTAAACTTACCCAAGACTCGTCATTAATATTTTTTTTCACTTCATTTTTTTTCTTCCCCAAACTTTTTTTTTATTTTCTACCTTTCTTTTGTTTAATTCATTGTTTTATTTCTTTTCTCACATTTATCTATTGTCAAAGTAGACATTGAAAGATGATTCAAACACTAAATAATTTCATCTTATATATCCATTTTATAAATCTATGATTTATTTTGTAAATTATTTTTTTTAATAATTATGTCTTTTTATCTTATCTCGATTAAAATTTCTCTTGTCTCATACATTTTTTATCTTATTTTTATAAGTTTATTTATTTATTTAGAATTGATTTTATTTTTATTCCTCGAATTGATAGATGTTTAGTTATTTTTTTATATATGTTTTTGTTGGATCTGATAAAATATAAAAATGAAATATTTATGATTATATTTAAAAAAAATAAAATCTTCTCGATGCATAAAATTTTTATATATTTAAATAGAATAAATACTAATATTAAAATCTTGTTTGTGAAGAAAAAAATTTCACTCGGTACATAAAAGTTTTTAAAATTAATTTTATTAAGTCTTTCATTTTCTGAACAGTCTTATAATTTAATTTGTCATTAAATCTTTTAAATTAAATTTTATCACAAAATAAATTGTAAATTTAATTATTATTATTTATATGATGAAAAAATAATAAGAACATAGGTCGTGAAATTGTTTTGAATCCCCTCCCTTTTCCATGATTCAAGAAAAAAAAACTTAATTTCCAAGTAAATTTATGTCCAAAATTTTAATTTAATATTACTTGAAGTGATCTGAAAATATAAAATTCCAATATTCAAGCTAATAGTCATATACTAGACAAAAGTTACATAACTTGAAATGATAAATTTGTGAAAGTACATTTATGTATTTCCCAAAAAGATGTTATACTGAAGCACGAGGAAATACAATAATACCAATAATGTTAAGGGGCTCTCAATAAGACGGCATAAATCTATTTATGAAATATTTACAAGTATTAGAAATTGAAATCCCTATGGCTTTTTTGCATATATAGGCAATCGGAGCTCCAAAATGAATTAGCTATAGGCACCAATTTACACCACCTAATGAATTCATCGTATTAAAGAAAATGTGGTTGTATCATCGGATATAACACGAGCTGAAAATTTACTTTTCCTCTGGCAGAAGCCATACCTTCGGTCGAATTATTTTTATTATCTCAAATCTATCCTTCGGGTTGATTCAATTTGTTTCTTCTTGTGGTTGAACTGAATTCTATCACGAATCTATAAAGAACTAGTTCGACTTGACGATTATCAAAAGAAACAAATCTCCATTAGTTACCCAATCTACAAAGCACTCGGAATATTCACCGAAGATATCATCACGAGTCACTTCGGATGCAGTTCAGTCCATTACCTAAACAATTTCACGACCTATGTGCTTATTAATTTTTCATCATATGAATAATAATAATTAAATTTACAATTTATGTTATGATAAAATTTAATTTAAAAGATTTAATGAAAAATTAAATTATAAGATTGTTCTGAAAATGAAAGACTTAATAAAATTAATCTTAAAAAATTAATTTAAAATAAATATATTTTAATTTATTAAAACTAAGATCAAATTGAAAGAATATATATATAACATGGATTATTTGTGTAATTATATCATCCAGGTAAGCCTATTAACTATTGTTAACATGTCACGTGTGTTTTCTTTCACGTCTTTTAACGACGAGTGACCAATTTGTAACAAACAATAACGTTAGTGACTGATTTGTAACTTTGAAACATCAGTGGTGAAAAAGAAAATTTACCCAAACATTAGTGACCATTGGAGTAATTTACCCTAATTTTAATTCTGTTTGGGATATATGATTGGTTATCTAAACTTATATACAAATTGTTTTATGATTTTACTCATTTTAACATAAATTTTAATTTCTTTTTTTTAATGTGATTCTCCGGTAACCCTAATATGACACCTCGGATCGGATCGAGTCACCCGCATCAGTCTGAGTGTGTTACATAAACACAACATATGAACTAATAATAGAATTTGATTTAACAGTTTAATCATTATATTTTAAGTCGGGACTAGAATTTCAAAGTTGGAAAGTAAAGAGACTAAAAATGTCATAATTATGGGATAATAAACAAATCCACATATAAATGTAGCCTACTTCTCTCCGACCAAAAGTGCATTAACTATGTTATCCGACATCCCGGAAGCATGCGGAAACATATGTCCGGCACCGCGTAGTTCATGGTAGTGAATCCAGGGAAGTTGTTGAGCAATGTAGCGCTGCAGACTAACCGGCACGAGCAGATCCTCATCTCCATTCCACAGATGCACCGAGCCCTCGTTATTCGGAAACGGATTTTCCAAGTCCATGGGAGAGAATTCCCAAGTTCCGAATCCAATCATCAGGTCCCGATGCAGAGATTCGTATTCGCCTTGCTGTCGTCTTAGAGCCTGAGGGGAGGACAAGACAAAGTATAATGGTAATGCCAACAGATTCCAATTACTGAACCACAACAATCCACTCACAACTAATCACATCTCAAATAAAAGTCAAAAGCCAACAAAATTTTCTATCCGATTTAACAACAAAATGTGAAGCGGACGATAACCAACAGCGAAGATTATAAAGAAGAAAAAGAAAGTGCAAGCAACTTCAAGGCAGAAACAAACACATACCACGTGGTTCGTAGCTGTTGAGATTATCTCAGGCAAGAGTTTTTTGTCCTCGCTAGAGAAAATATCAGCACTGTGAGTGATAGCACTACAAACCGGGAACCATTTTTGAGTGTTCCACCAGTATGTAAGCCAGGGAGCATAGTGAGACACACGAAGTGCCCACTGGTCGTTCGGCGACTGTTGGTAATATGCTTCCGTAGATAAGATTTTTGGAAAACCAGGCCACCAGTAGTTAACAACTGGAGCTAACAATGCTGCCCCAGCTAACCTATCGAAGTTTCAAATATCGCTCTCCTTAAAAATAAGAAATGAAGAGAGGCAGTATACGAAGTACACCCTTGCATTCAAGTAGTCTGGACTTTAGAAAAAAGCAATACCTGTGAGGGATGTACTTGAGGCAGCTCCAAATAACCTGCCCCCCCATAGAAAATCCGATTACATAAAACTTGGATCCTAATCCTAATTGATCAGCAAGCTCTTCTATATCCAAAGGCAAGCTCTGAACTGTTCGATTTGGATTAGGGTCACTCTCTCCATAACCGGGTCTGTCAAAAGAAACAATGTAGACACCAAGAGCTTCAACAATTTCCTGCCAGAAACAAAGAACCAAGTCCAATCACACTTACTTCAACATGTTATAGCTGAAAACTCATATGAGTATCCAAAACAATAAAGAAAAATGAACAACCAAGTACCGGTGACAAGGTATTGGCAACAACAGCATCGTGCCTACAGGAATCAAAGCCATGGACATAGACAATTTTATACTTGGCGGCATCTCGTGGAACACCGTGCTCTTTGTAGGCCAAATGCCTTCCGTCCTTCAGCTTTATTATTGATTCCGAAACGGGTGGACCGTCAGGAGAGCCGCATGTCCTAGGCGGAGGCGGTTGAATAGCCTGATAGGCCCATGCAAAAATCCCAGCAGACAAGACCAATAGTATCTTTGTGAAAATCCCTGCAGTTTTCGAGTCATAATTCAAACAGTCTATAGTGAAGAAATGAATTTAAAATAATTGGCAATGACAAGACAAAGCATGTCAAGAATCCCATTCCATTAACCAGTCACCTTAAAATCGAATCCCATCCAAAAGATAATTGAACTCAGTTTTACATCAAATCGAAATCGAAGATCAATGCTTGAGCAGTGAACAACACTCATACGATTTCAATAGAAACAAAGAGATTCAAAGTCCCAAAATTCACAATTCTTATTATATGAGTCAATACGTTAGGGTTCTGCAAGAAATGAAAATCCCAGATCCAAAAATTCCAACTTTCTTACAAAGTAAAGTGACACGGACAAAAGAAAGGGTTGAATCCTACGATTATAAGATAACCCAAATTAGATCACACAAAAAGAAGAAAAGAAAAGGGACCTGAAGGAAGCTTGAAAGAAGAGTTTTGCTTGGCTCTTCTAGTGTGAGCTCGAGCTGAAGCGGCTGATATTTTCCTATTAACTCCTGTTGCTGCCATTTTGGGGTCTCTTCTAAACAACCCTAACTACCAAAACAATATTAGGAAAGTCACCAAAGCAATAATAAACCAATGAAGAGGAGAAAGTCTCACGACAATACCAAATAAATTAGGGTCAACTACTTATTTGGTCACTCAGCTATTACTTAATTTATGTTTTGGTTATTCTATTATTTGTTTTTTCAAAATCATTTTTTTATAATATGGGCTAAATACAATATAGTATATGTTCCAAGATAACTCTCAACCATTTGACAATGAATACTCATACCCCTGGCATTCCTGGTACTCAAACCCAGGACCTCAAGAATAACAACAATTCTTTTACCACCGAGGTCGCTTAATTCATACTTCAAAACCATATATAATGCTACATTTTGACTCTATTTTGGTCACTTATTGTTCTGCATTAAAATAATTTCATGTTAGCGTTAAAAAAATAAAAAATATCATATCAACATAGCCATTAACTTTTTAACGATATGTGATTAAAACATAATCAAAATGTGATATTAGAAATTAAATAATAAATGGATGGCCAAATAAGTAGTTAACCAAAGAAATTAAGAAACCAAGAGAGAGAAGAAGAAACCTAGGACCACATTAATTGGTTTCCAATGTTTAACTACTACACCTACCGTCATAATTCGAAAAACTTTAAAGGAGTGATGAACAGTAAACTTTAATTGCTGAAGTTCAAATGTTGTCATTTTATTAAAGATTATTAAATTTTTTAAAAATGAATGTATAAATGTTGATATTAAGAGGAAGAAATAATGTAAAAGTTTACAAAAGTAGAGAAAAAAATTATATTAGTATCATCGCTAATTTTATATTGATGGTAATAAAAATAAAGTTAATAAAAAATTATTAAAGTATAATTTAATTATTAAAGTAAAAATAATATAGTAATTGAATGAACAAATAAACAGTTTATTATTTTTACCAAAGAGAGATGCCTTCATTAAAAGAAAATACATAGCAAAAATAGTATAATTTTATTATAGGAATGTTTATTTTTGTTTAAATTTTTTATATGTTTTTACTTAATTTAGAAAAAAAATATAATATTTAATTATTTTTATTTAATTAAGATGTGATGATGGTTATTTATATTTAATTAAAATGTGAACACTCATCTTATCAACTTTTAAATGTTTAGTCACTAAAATTTTAACTGTTGTTAGTGAGAAAATTAAATAAAAATAACAACCACTTAACTACATAAAAAGTGATCAAATATTATATTTTTAAAATTTAATGAATAAAATTATGTAAAACTAAAACAAAAATCATCAATGTTATAATTTACTCAGGAGATTTAAAAAAAAGTTTTAGACATAAAAAAAGACATACTTCTGCATTAACAATAATTTTTTATGACATTCAAAAAAACGTATTTGATCTGTGAGTTCTTTTGTTTTTTTAAGCTTTTTTGGTGATTCAGTTTTGTTCTTGATTATTTATATTTGATGAAAATTTGAATGATCGGGCTGGAAATTTTTGTGACTTACTGGGAATCTGATGCAAATTGATTGTAAAAAAATAACGTTTTTATGTGAAGTTTTTATAATTTTCTAGCCGTTCAACGCCTTTCTTTGCTTTTTCTACTCTCTCTCCTTGGAGAGAACCCAATTATATCCTTCCAAATTCCATCAGATTCTCCAATTGTCCCTCTTGAATCCTTCGTTTCTCTTCTAAAGCTTCAGAGTCCGGCGACTTCCACGGTGATGATTCTTTTGGTTTCTTTCTTTGGTCCCCTGCCGACAACGGTATAAAAAACATTTTTTCCGTTGATTTTAATAAAGAAACATTTTTTCCTTTGATTTTAATAATATTTAATCACCCATTCTTTTTAATTGCTTGATCTAAGAGAGCAAAATCAAAAGTTAGGTACCCGAATCTTCAAATATTATTTTACGTTATTTTTGTTATCAAAAATCGGAAATTCGTCTTCACCAGAACAGGTGTAAGATTTATATGTTATAGATTAAAGTTGCTTATTATTCGTAACAATTCCTTTTTCATAGTTCCTCATAGCTTCGGCTATAGATGATCACTTGAGGTCATGTCCTTCTTTTAGATCTCATAGGGCGTATAGGGGGAGGGCTCAACAGAGTGGTGTGAAGGAGACTAGACTTAGAGTATGTTCGTTGAATGTAGGCACATTAAATGCTAGGCTGCTGGAGCTAACCGATGTAGTTAGAAATAGAAAAATAGATTTTGCATGTATTCAGGAGACTAGGTGGAAAGGGGCTCGCGTAAAAGAGTGTAATGGGTACAAGTTGTGGTATTCAGGCATAGATAACGCTAGAAATGGGGTGGGTATCTTGGTATCCTCTAGGCTCAAGGAAAATGTAGTTGAAGTTTGTAGATATCGGGATAGGATCATGATGATTAAGATTATTATAGAAGCGGAAGTGGTGAATGTCATTTCAGTGTACACCCCACTCGTTGGCCTAGGGGAGGGGGAGAAACGTTGCTTTTGGGAGCAGTTAGATGATGTACTTAGGAGCATTCCAGAGGACCAAAGAGTTTTTACAGGGGGAGACTTTAATGGCCATATAGGTAGTGCAACCAATGGATATAACAGTGTTTATAGGGGTTTCGGTTTTGGTAGTAGGAACGATGAGGGGCGTATGTTGCTGGAATTTACTACTGCACACGATATGGTGGTCACTAACTTCTTCTTTAACAAGAGAGATATAAACTTGATTACGTTCCATTGCGGGGGATATTGTACCCAAATCGACTACATCTTGGTTCGAAATCGGGATTGATGGGCTTGCATTGACTGTAAGGTGTTCCCTGAAGAGGCATGTGCATCACAACACAGATTGTTGGTTTTGGTATTCCGCGTACGCCACGGACGGAGCACTCATAGGAGGGCTAAACTTGGTAAACCTAGGATCCTTTGGAATAACTTACATGAAGCGACAACTGATGACTTTAGGAGTAAGGTTTTGTCTAATATAGGTTTTGGAACTACAAACTCAAATAATGTAGATATGTTATGGAAAAATATGGCAAATTTCATCAGAGAGGTGGGTAAAAACACCCTTGGGTTATCGACAGGGAAGGCCAAGGAACATAAAGAATCGTGGTGGTGGAACGACGAAGTCCAAACTAAGGTGAAGATAAAGTAAACTTGCTTTAAGGAGTTTCTACAATGCAATGACGACGAAGAAAGATCGAGAGCTAAACAAAGATACAAGGAGACAAACCGGGAAGCCAAGAAATCGATGGCTAAAGCAAAGGATAAGGCATACGAGGAAATGTACAAGAGATTAGACACCAAGGAAGGACAAAATGGCATCTTTAGGCTTGTAAAATCCAGGGAGAATAGGAAAAATGATCTAGGTAGCATTAGGTTTATTAAGGACAACAATGGTGTTCTTTTAGTGAAAGATAATGATATTAAGAGGGTTTGGGGTAGTTACTTCTTTGGCTTATTTAATGACGGTGCCTCTCCCTGTAGAGATGATACCATTGATGGGTCAAGTGATCATCATACAACAGCCAATGACTGCCCTACAAGTAGGATTGGGTTTGAGGAAGTCAAAATGGCTCTTAGAAAGATGGGGAGGGACAAAGTTGTCGGTCTAAATCAAATTCCTATCACTGTGTGGTTGGCACTAAGAGAAGAGGGAGTTAGGTGGTTGACTAACATCTTTAATATTATTTTAGAGACTGCCAAGATTCCAGAGGAGTGGAGAGAGTCTACGGTGATACCAATCTATAAGAATAAAGGAGATCCCCAACGTTGTGGCAACTACAGAGGTATTAAACTACTCAGCCATACCATGAAGCTATGGGAAATGGTGATAGAGGCTAGGTTGAGACAGATTACTAGGGTTTCAAAAAACCAATTTGGCTTTATGCCAGGCAGGTCTACTACGGAGGCGATTCATCTACTTCGACGGCTTATGGAGAAATATAGGGAAAAATAGAGATCTTCACATGGCGTTCATTGACTTTAAGAAGGCGTATGATAGCGTTCCTCGCGATACAATCTGGAAGACCTTGGAAACGAGACAGATCTCATCTGCTTATATCCGGGCGATTCGTGACATGTACTGTAGATCTATTACATACGTCAGGACTACAGTTGGCAACACCGAGGCATTCCCTGTGGAAATCGTACTCCACCAGAGGTCGGCTCTTAGCCCTTACATCTTCGCCATGATTATGGACGACATCTATTGTGCGACACCAGACGGTGTTCCATGGTGTATGCTTTTCGCTGACGACATTGTCCTAGTTGTTGAAACAAAAACTGAGCTGAATAGTAGACTGTCTACCTGGAAGATTATTTTGGAAGAAAAAGGTCTAAGGATTAATATTGAAAATACAGAGTATTTATGTTCAAACTTCAGTGGGAACCAAAACGATGAAGATGTAGACGTATGCATAGAAAGACACGTTCTCCCCTCAAAGGATTATTTCAAGTACCTAGGGTCTAGGATACATAAAGATGGGGGTGTAGATGATTACGTTACACATCGTATAAAGACAGGATGGCTAAAGTGGAGGGCTGCTACTGGAGTTTTGTGTGACAAGAAGGTGCCTCTAAAACTTAAGGGAAAATTTTATAGAATGGCAATAAGACCAGCGCTGTTGTATGGAATAGAATGTTGAACAATCAAGAAGGAGCACGTAAGGAGGATGGAGGCAGCAGAAATGAGAATGCTTCGAGGAGTGGTGCCTGTATCCAAAAAATTGAGAAAGGGAAGACTACGGTGGTTTGGATATATCCTTCGACGAAAACCGTCGGATGCGGTCAGGAAGGTAGAGTCGATTATAGTAGACGGTGCCAGGAGGAGATGACGACTAAGGCGGAAGTGGGAAGACTGCTTGAGATCTGATTTAAAGGATTTAGCTCTTACCGAGGACATGACCTCTGATAGGAAAGTATGGAGACTTAAGACCAAAGTAGCCGAGTAGTGAGGGTTACACCCATAGGGTGTATCATCTATGTCTTCTTTTAATGCCTTTATAGTAATTTACATGACTTCTACTTTTTATATGTTTCTGTCATTGGATTTTAAGAAGGCTTAGAACTAGGGTAGCGGAGTAGTGTTGCCTTAGTTTAGGTTTTAACACATTAGACTTTATTTCTTTCTCGTAGCTAACTATCGTTGACTTCTATGTATCATTTCTCTTTAGGTTTCCTCTTTTTAAATTTAGTCGGGTCTTACTTTTCTGTCTATATGTAGAGATTTTTACGCAGGGATTTATTTACGGGGATTTCTTCCCACTACAGACGTGCATATGAAGATTGTTCAACTATGTATTTATTTATTTAATTATACATGCATGGCATTTTATCCTTATTTTTATTTTTCTGACTACCGGAGGTCTTCCACGGAAGCTGCTCTCAACCTGGCGTTGGGGCCAGCCTACTACACTATCTCCCCTTTACCCCATTGTATATGGGAATATGGATTTTTTGTTGTTGTATAGTGCTCAAATCTAAATCTTTAATTAATAACAATAATTTTTTTATCACAAAGAGCATTCGGTTCGTGCATTAACAAAAATCTTAATACTATTAGTTTAGTTATCAAATATGATAAATATATTGTAATGTATGTCGTGTTTAATCATTGTGTCTTTATTTTTGTACTAACAAATAATATATTAATTATATTAATATAATAAATAAACTAAAAATAACTAAATAGTTGTACACAAAATAAATAAATAAAATATTGGAAGATTGCAACTGATCCGGGCAGTTTTATTCAGCATGGCTAACTTTTGGTGCAGGAAATTAATCCTCCCCAAAGAGATCATTAGGACCATTGAGCAACTCTGCTCCAGGTTCTTTTGGAAGGGATCTAATCTGCCTGCGAAAGGCGCTCGTGTTAGCTGGTGGAAAATTTGTTTATTAAGGTCTGAAGGGGGTTTAGGTGTACAGGATATTGGCGGTTGGAATAAGGCCTACATCGTGCAGCTGATCAGGAAGTTGTTAGCCAATGAGGGCTCTCTTTGGGTGGCTTGGTTACGAGCCTATGTGATTAGGAATGGTAATTTTTGGCAAATGAACATTCCTAAAAACGTTAGCTGGAACTTCGAATGTCTCTTGAAGGCTAAACCTTCCGCTTTTCACCTCCTTGTTGATCCGGCTAACCTAAACGCGAGGAGAATCTGGGAAAATATGTGCGTTAAAGAACCCAAGGTCCCTTGGCAGCGTCTAGTTTGGTTTCCGGGGCGTATTCCTAAGCATAGTATTATCGTATGGATGGCTATTCTAAATAGACTTCCTACGCGGGTTAGACTCCAAAAAATGGGTCTAAACATTGATGATGTCAATTGTTTGTTATGTGGTCTTGAGGCAGAAACCAGGGACCATTTGTTTTTCAACTGCAGCTTTGCTAAGAACCTCTGGGGATCTATCCTTGCTTTATGTGGGATATCTCATGCCGTTAGTAGTTGGGACGATGTGCTTGCTTGGGCGATCCATTGTCTCAAAGGAAATTCCTTCATTGTGAAAATATTTAAGCTTGCTTGGGCTGGCCACGTTTACTGTATTTGGAGGGAGAGGAATGGCAGATTATTTGGTAACACTGCTAGATCGATGGATGTAGTTTTGAAGGATATTAAGGAAGTAATCCGGATTCGATTGGCTGGTAAGTTCTTTAACAGAGTTGATTCAACGAATGGTTCTCTGTGCACTAGTTGGGGTATCACTTAAGCTAAGTTTTCCTCCTGTTCTGCAGTATTTGTGCCTTAATGGTTTGGTTTCTGTTCTGCTACCCTTGTATTCAATTGTGAATATTTGCCTTATGTATTCTGTAAATTTGTAGCAGGTTTCCTGCTTTATTGGGTAATGAAATGGAATTATCCAAAAAAAATATAATAAAATAAAATATTAAAATCATATTTAAAATTTTCATGATTTTTAATACATCAAGATCTGTATTGAATATAAATTGCAAAGCATACATCAAAAAATTAATCACAATTTAGTATTTATTTTAGGATAAAAATATATTCATTTTATAATAAATAAAACAAACAATATAGTGATTATATGAGTATAATAAATAAATTAAAACTTATAAAATAATTATATAAAAATTAAATAAATTTGAAAAATAAATAAAAACAGTATTAACAATATATTTAAAAAATTTATAGTTTTTGCATCAAGATCCATATTAAATGTAAAAGGCAGAACACATATTAGTAAATTATTCGATGTAAAATATTATTTTTAACATAAAAATATTAATATTATATAATTAAAATAATAATAAACTCATAAGTATGATAAAAATTAAAGAAAAACACATTTAAAATATTTTTCTTCTTTCAAACTCCAAAAAAAAAGTTCTCTTTTGAAGTGGAGATTCGAAAGAGAGTTGCATGGTACTCTACATTATAATCACCTCTTGCTATTAAAAAGGATAAATTTCACATTTAATATTTACACTATTAGTTTTAATATGTTTCAGTACCTAAATTTTTTATTTTTTTTAAATCATACTTAACGTTTAGTTTTTATTTCATTTTAGTACCATATCGTTAAAAATTTAATGTGGCTACTACCTAAACTATCAGTTTTAGTCAATTTTAGTACCTAAACTTTTAATTATTTTCAAAACTTATCGTGAAATTTTGAATTATGGTATTAAAATGAAACAAAAACTAAACTTTAGGTACTAAAACAAACTAAAATTGATAGTTTAGGAGCTAAACACTTAATTTACCCTAAAAATTATAAAGGGTTCTTTTGTGGTTAGTTCTAAACATTCATACCCATCTTTTGTGAGTATTGGCAAAGGATCATTATACACTTTTATGTGCTATAAACAGATCCTACGGTTTCAAGACAACTAATTCTCAAATGTATCATTCTTTCTTTCTCGTATGCTTCTTTGGTTTTTTCCAATTTTAGAACAATATGAGTGCAACTTAATTCTAACCCTAGGGAAAGACATTATATTCTAAAAGTGAATTCATACTCACCTTTGTAATCTTGAAAACTCAACAAAGGTGAATTTTGATGTATTGAGCGAAATCTTTGTTTTCTTTACTTGGGTGTTGAGTGAAAAATTGTGAGAAATTTTGGGTTTTAAAACTTTGGATTTAATGGACAAAAAACAATATAAAACCAATAGTTGTATCCCTTGTTCACTTTAATCCTTCCTCATCCAATTAATACTCTCTACCTTATCGACTCTCAAAATTGTTAAATTTTTATAATCAAAACTATTTTCTGATAATTATCTTCCAAATTCTTAACTCATAATTTGTAGGTGTTTTATCAGAATTTCATAAAATTCGATATTAAAGAAATTCAAGGCATTACAAGAATGCTATCATATACCAAGGCAACTAAGATTTCCTTTGAGATGTAACGTGAAAGGAAGCCATCTTAATGCGTGGGGATGCTCAACATACAATGGTTAAGAATGCTAAAGAGTTACTCTCATAGAGTGTGCATGTTTATAGATATTCTAAAGGAACAAAAGGAGCATATTGTAATAACCATAAGTACCAAACGATTAAAATATCCACTCGTGCAACATTTTTAAAGGATAATTTTGTAAAGGCTTAATATAAATATAACGGCCCAACAGGTCCGTTTCTGAGATTTTGATGGCCCAAGATGAATTTCAAAATTGGACCTCTAATAATAAATATTTAAAAATTCTAAAAGTATACAAAAATTAATTAATTTATAAATTATATTTTTATAACACTCAACAAACTATTTAATAAATAAATCAAATTTTGCATAAAAACATAAGAAACTTTATTATAACACCTAACTACTACACAAAACAATTTATATGAGCATTTATAGATGCAAAATCACTAACAATAGTGTTTGTATCAATATGATCTAACATAATTTTCTCAGTTCATAAAACGGTTAAACCAATGAATCTTTCTTGTGACATTGATGACCTCAAATAGGTTTTCAACAATTTTAACTTCGAAAAACTTCTTTCAGCTGATGCAATTGTCACCGACATATTTAAGAGAATTTTGTAAGCAATTGAAACATTTGGATAATAATCCACAACTTCAACAAACTTTAGAATTTCAAATGTTGAGATTAACTCATTTGACAAAGTCATTTGTAACACTTTCAATTATGGAAAAAATCTCCTACAACAATATCAAACAAATCATTATGAGAAAAAATAGCCTTAAAGTACATGTAAGATTTTTCGTAATTCATCATTGCTCAAACATTTTAGTCTTTTAGAATCAAATAAAAATCTAAAATATTGTCAAATAATTTCAATGAGTCAAATCTATTTTTCAAAAAAAAAAAGTTATAGCTAAATTTACAATCACAAGAAAATAAATAACTTTAAAAGATTCTTCGAGTGATTGTATTTTTTCTTCATCATCATTCTAATCAAATTGTCTTTTTATAAAAACACGAAGTTTTGTTGGAAGTGTTTCTTCTATATTCATATCAAATGTCATGCTTTTGGTAATATCAATGTAAGACTCAAACCCTTCATTTCTATGTTTCTCAATGAATAGCATTACACTTTTCACTTCATTAATTGCAGTTCCAATGCAAATAGATTAAAGTTGCAATTTCTTATTCACTTTATTAACAATCAATAAAATCTCATACCAAATAACTAAGTTAAGTAAGAACTCAAAACTCGTAGGAGAATTAGCTGAACTTTCTGTTTTACTTTTTGTCATGGTATCTCCACCACTAGAATTATACAATGCCAACAAAGTTAATTTATTTTGGTGTTTAAAATCTAAAAACCTTAACGTTTGTTAGTCAACTCTCCCATCAAGTATTACATAAAGATTACAATGTACAATTTTTAACATTATAAACTAAAATCTCCCATCTTTTAGTAGAGCTTGAAAATAACGTGTGTATGCATTGCACAATTCCAAAAAAAAATAAACAAATTTCACATAAGAATGAGTCATATCTGATAGAGTGACATTATGACTATGACAAGCACATGACATATATAAAGCCCTTGGATTTATTTCCAGTAACCTCTTTTGAACCCCTTGGTGTTTTCTTTTCATATTAGAACCATTGTATAACCTTGATCCCTAATATCATTAACATCTAAATCAAGTGACTTGAATACATTTAATAATTCATTAAAAGTCTCCAATACAGATGTATCATATACATTTAAGAACTCAAAAAATATCTATTTTTATTTCATTACTTGGCATATTTACACATTATATTATCAAACTCATTTGTTATTGATGACTCACATCTGGTGTACAATCAAAGATAATAGAAAAAATAATTTGTTTTCTTAATAATCTTTATGTAGAAGTTCTAACACCATGAGCCAAAAAAGAAATCAACCCATTTTGAATTTGAGGACCAATGTAGTGATGGTGAATAAATTAATTTTGGATATGTCTACCATGATCTTGCAATATTAAATCAAATCCAATTATCATTTTAATTAAACCTAAAAAATTACCATTAATTACTATCCTCATAAGGTTTTCCACTAGAACCACAAAAAGCAAAATTAGTTTTGGTAAGACATTTCACAACTGATATTATTCTTATTAAAACTTCTCCAAAGTTCCTTTTCTTTTAAAATTATTTCTTGAAAATCTTTATCAATACCTTTATTCTTGTTTCATTCCAATTATTCATATTAGCCATATGCTCAACACTATTCTCATGTTGTTTGAGTCTCTGGCTTAAATGCTTCCAATGATCGATTCCATCATTTGCTAAAAGGGTTTTGTTATTTTGAGAAGTGAATAATTTACGACAAAAACAATATACTTTATTCACATGTCTAGAGTAAACTAACCAAAAGAGTTTCTCCATTGTTCAATTTTCTAGAAAAATAGGAATAAGAAAAATGTATAGAAAAGTTATCCTTAAGAAATATAATATTGAATTCTCTAATGGATCATTTTTCAATCAAAATATATCTAATTTTAGTATTAAGAACATCCCAATTTCTAGGATCATATATATCAAAAGGATGGATTATAAGCTCATCAATGCCAATATCAATATTTGAACCATCAAGTACATTATTTAAATTAGTAGGATAACCATGGAGGGAATTATCATCATTCAAATTTTAATTAAAATATTCAATATTATCTTCATCTATGTCTGACCCATCATCATACAAAAACTCTTCTACTTATTTTGAAAAAAAAATATCTAAAGCAATTCAACAAAAAACATGAGTTTAACATTCCAAATCACCAAATCAAACCAATTAGCAAAATCTAACACAAAACCAATGGTTCATACATCATGTCACATTTATCACAACTCAACATATCAATAATAGTCTAGATCATAAAATGATTCTCACATTGTCACTATATGGATTTAAACCACATACGTTTTATTTAGTATGCCTTGCTTGACCACTCTGGATGCTTGCTCCTCGCCTCCGACTCAGCTACTAATCCTCTAAAAAGTGTCAAACATCGAGTGTGAGCTGAAAAGCCCAGTGAACAACTAACATTCTAAGAATGCACATTATGAAGTTAAAGGAAATCCCTATATGCAATCACTCCTCACTTGTTTTTACCTCAACATTCATGCCATCATGTCATGCTTTTATGTTCACATATTGCATCATAAATGCACAACAAATTCAGAATATACACTTAATATTCAGCATCATATGTCCAACCGCAAACACATACACTCATGCATAATTACCTCTTCGCAAGTCATACACAATACACACATTGTTTCAATTAATGATCAATGACCTTTTTTTTAAA